CTGGTCATGTGATCTTGGGTCACTTCACCTCTCTGGTCTTCAATTTATCCATCTATACGTAGGCTCATGTGATCAGTAAATGAATGTTCTCCATGATGTGTTTTTGGGATTCTATTTCAATAGTATGCTTTTATGGCAATAATACATGTTAATTTGGTCATTGTGGGAATTATTTTTGTGAGGCTTAAATGAAGTAACAGATGTAAAATATTAATAATGGGTCCAGTGCAAATGAGGATCAATAAATTTTTGTCAGCTAGAAATCTACTTCTTGCTTGGTAAGGTTCACAAACATACTTCTTCCATGGAAGAGAAAGAACATTGAGCAACTACCTCCTGTCTTCCTGAGCTGATCTCACTAACCTACCACCATCCCCATGACTGTGGACATGGTTTTGGGCTTATAACTGTGCTACTCGAAGTGCTGGTCTGCAGCAAGACAAGAAATTGGCATCCGAGTGTAATCAAGTCACTATTTCCTTCGCTGATAAAGCCTTGCTACAAAAAAAATGGACTCAGCTGAACTAAACAGTGTGGTTAGCAATGTAGTTGACTTATGTCACGCTGGAAACTCCTTATCTTGTCCTAGGCTGATAAACTGCTTGTAGACTGGCACTTGGATACCAAAGTCTTAGTGTATGGCATGTCTTACATAGAGTTTGAGTTCTAAAGCCAGCATTTATGCTTGCCCTCATGACATCACACTATGGTGCATATTTTGAACATATGTATAAAAGCCTATGTGTTTGGGACATTGATAAATGTGACTTTCATGTATATACTTTTCTCTTGGGGTCATTACATATAATTAGATCTCATGCAAACATGTACTCTAAATTTCATAACCATGGGGAGTGCAGGAAAAATAGCTGTATGTTTCTCATCTTGCATATGAGAATAGCTGGAGGATCAATCAGTCCTTTGACAGAGATGTGAGATGGAACAGCAAATAAATATCTTTTCATGTGCCAACTCCTGTGAAATGGTACTGGCTGTCCATGTACTGTGTTCAGACACATTTGGAAAATGCATCTGGGGACAAGTGCTGTCATTGATTAGTGATGTCTGCTATGGGTGTGGGAATGAAGCATGGCAACACTCATTGTGTATTTCATCCTTGGCTGGGAATTCCAGGTTTATCCTTCTACTAAAAACAGTGACATAATTATCTGTCACAGGACATGAAAACCATGGCAGAAAAGAAGAACCAGGTCCTCATTATGAGCCTGGAGATGCCTCTCTTCAAGAATATCATATGAATGTGGCTTTCCTCATAGATGCTTCCCAAAGAGTAGGAAATGATGAGTTTAAGGAAGTGAAAACTATTATTACCTCAGTGCTTGATTACCTTCACATTGCCCCAGATCCACTGACCTCCAGCTTAGGAGACCAGGGGCTCTCCTGAGCTTATCTCCTGCAGGCTATGTGCCCAACACTGGGGAATGTTCTGTCTACCTGGAATTTGATTTGGTTACTTAGAACAGTATCAGCCAAATGAAACATCATCTCCAAGACAATCTTGAGCAGCTCAGGGGAGATGTTTATATCGGTCATGCCCTGCAGTGGACAGCTGACATGTCTTTGTGGGAACCTCCAGCCTGAGGAAAAACAAAGTTATCTTTGTCATATCTGCTGCCGAGACCAACCCCTTAGACAAGAAAGTCTTAAGAAATGTTTCTCTGAGAGCCAAGTGTCAGGGCTATGCCATATTTGTGTTTTCTTTCCTCTGGCCCTACACACAATGACAAGAATGAGAGGAATTAGCCAGCCACCCACTGAATCGGCACTTAGTCCAGCTTGGCCGGATCCACAAGCCAGATCTGAGCTATATCACCAAGTTTGTCAAGCCATTTGTCCATTTAATCAGATGTAAGTCATTAAACCTTTCCCCTTCTATTGCTTTTACAATAGATTAAATGTCTCTGTGTACAAGTAGGGGTGCTGAAGGCTGTACAGTGAGCTCTGGGGCACCTATTTACCATCTTGGCTGTACACAGAATTATGTGAGAAATTATTTTAAAATAAGTATTCCGGGGGTACCTACTAAAGCTGAAAATATGCATATCCTATGACCCAGCAATCTTGCTCCAATGTACAGATGCAAAAGAAAAATACATATTCATCAAAAGCCATGTTTCAGATGTTTATAATAGCACTATTTGTAGCAGCCCCAAAGTAGGAACAAAAATGCCTAACAGCAGATATGATAAATAGTGGTATAGGTATCAATGAAATGCTATACATGTATGTACTATGTATATAAAATACTATATATGTATATAGTATGATGTACACTTCATATATATATATATATATATACATATATGCTATGTGTGTGTATATATATATATATATATTGGTATAGTTGTAGATACAGCTAGTATATGAGGTGTATATAGAACAAAATCAGCAAAATGATGGAAAACAAGATAGGTGAGGATAGAGGATTATGAAAAAAATCAGAAAGGGGAAAGAGGATAAGAAATCAAATATAAATATAATGAAATGAAATACCTGGTTCTGGTCAGGATGGACAGAGCCTACTTTCACCTCAAGTTGGAGGAAGCCCACCTTACTGACCCTCCCACCGATTATAACTTAAAACTCTGGACAAAATATCAAAAGCAATTACCTGGGACCTGCACAAAAGCAGATACGTTGTGAAGGGGCATGAGTTTCCCATTTTCTTTTTTCTTTTGTGGCTCTGTGGTGAGGGTAGGACCTGTATGGTCACAGGGGAGCAGGTGGCTAAGACTCAGTAAAAGCCCCATATTTATGGGTAGAAGACCTAAGAAAAGGGGCCCCTGTTTTTCAAAGATGATGGAAGAAATCCCCATTTTCAATCCCTCTTTTCCCTTGTGGTTTTGCTCTGAAGGTGGAGCTGAGTGGAAGGCTAAACAGATAAAATTAAAGAGAAAGCCTGTCTTTCTGACAGAGGAAACAGGAAGAGAACCTATGGGGTGGCCTCAGAGAGAAGAGGACTGGAGCACCTCTAATTCTAATTATGGCAACTGCCTAAGTCCCAGCTGCCCCCTAAGCTCTGCATGGATGAGAAAACCCTAAACAAGATATCAAAGGCTTTGGACATTAAATTGAGATTGGAACCACTGCCTACAGAAAGTTGCATTCTGAACCTACTGGATTGATTGTCTGCCTAAGAAAAATTAAAATTCTACAGAAAATGGTAATAGAACTTAGAGTCTATACAATGTAATATTCAAAATGTTAAGGATAAAATCCAGAATTATGCAACATACAGAGAACCAGTAGATGCAAACTATTCTCAAAGGAAAAGACAACAGATGCCAACCTCAAGTTGACTCATGTTTTGATTATTAGACAAATATATTAAAACAGTTGTTAAAACTATATTTCCTGAAATAAAGGCAAACAACTTGATAAGAACAGAAAGATAGACATTCGCAGCAGAGAAATAGAGATTTTAAAAAAAGAACTAAATGAAAATTCTAGAAATAAAAAAATACAATGTCTGAAATTTAAAAAATTCACCAGATAGGCTCAGTAGCAGACCAAAGATGACAGAGGCAAGTCAGTAAACTAAAAGACAGATATTACATACTCTGAAGAGAGAAAAAGGCTTTTTAAAAATGAACAGAGCCTCAGACACTTGTGGAACAGTATTGAAAGGCCTAATATTTATTTTATTAATATTCTAGAAGGAAAGGAAAGCTAGATTTATTCAGAAAAAAAAATTGAGGATGTAATGGCCCAAAACTTCCCAAACTGGTAAAAGATTTAACTTTACAGTTTTTTAAAAACCCAGAGAAAACTCTGCTCAGACACATCACAAACTGATGGAAACAAAAGATAAAAATCTTGAGGCAGCTAGAGAAAAAATATGTCTTATGTAAGACATGAACAAATATTCAAATAACTGCAGATTTCTCATCCAAAACCATGCAGGCCAGAGAACAGTGTAACTTCTTTATCTTATAAGTGCTAAAAGCAGAGAACGGTCAAAGCAGAATTTTAAAGACTGTAAATAGCCCTCTGGATAAGGAAATGGAAGCTACAGCATTGGAAACTTCTTACCAAAGAATATTCACAGCATTAGTCCAATACTATTTTGTCACAATGATTCCTACTCTGTAATAATGTTTATAGGACACAAGTTCACCTTAAATTTAGTCCATTAAAAGAAGACAATAAAACCTCTCTCTGGGTTGTTGAAAAGTTGGAGGTAATATGTCTGGAGCTCAGAATACACACTGTGCCTGGCACATAATCAACTAATGTTATCCTTACATGAATTATCTAAGTTGGGTAATATATTTGATGATTAAAAATAAAAGTCCACTATGAAGAATGATCAGCCTTTATATTACTTTGCTTATCTTTCACTTCTCGCAGTGAGCAGGCTTTTCTTTCCACTTGCCCATTTTTCTGATATTTTCATTTCATCTGTCTATTTAATGTACATATTCTCTGTTTGCTCATGATGATGTATTTGAACGTGGATTTTTAAAAGTGCAACAGTATTTTTTTTCTCATTATGTCAACTCAGGGCTAGTTTCTTAGTCTTTATTTTTCCAACATCGAGTGTGGTGTTTCTCAAAATGTGGTCCCTGGACCAGCAACCTCAGCATTGTCTAGGAACTCACTGAAATGCAGATCTGTAGATGCCAGCTGCTGAATCAGAAACTCCAGAGTTGGATGATTTTGATGCATGCTAGAGTTTGAGAACTACTGACCTAGAGTTACAGATATTGAGCCTAAATTCTTTAATGGTGGTCCTTCACTAGATATTGATAGGTATTTGGGCAAAAATAATTTTCCTATAAAACAGAGAGAGAAGTAGGTGTTCTTTATGCAGGGCCTCTCAGTGCCTTTAATGAACTAATGTTCATGGTGATTCTGAAAGAGGGGCTATTAGTTGAACCAATGTGACCACAGAATCTTGTATTAGGGAAGAAGTTCTAAAAAAAACACTACTTGGGGAAATAGTAGTCAAAATGGTGCATCCAGGGTTCGAACGTGGATTTGCGTTTACTGGTCATGTGATCTTGGGTCACTTCACCTCTCTGGTCTTCAATTTATCCATCTATACGTAGGCTCATGTGATCAGTAAATGAATGTAAAGTGCTTCAAACAGCACTTTGCATGCAGTAGAAGCTTAACGAAGGTCAGCTCTTAATTTAAAGTGATGAAGATGATAAATGACAGAGCCGATGGCCATGGTGGAAAGAAGACCAACCAGCCTGGGAATGAGAACATCCGGATACTCACTTTGGTTGCATGATTAACTAGGTTTGTGATCTCAAAAAACCTGATTGCCCTGGTCCCCAGATTTCTTACTGTCTAATGAAAGCTTGGGTAAGGCCATGTTTTGGGTATGAAGACTCTCCAGGGCGTGGGTTTTCAAACACTAGCCTTAAAGGGCTCTGTCTACCTGGGATGTTTGTGTCTGATGAATCATGGAGGGTCTCCTTTCCTGCACCCCCTTTACAAATGTCCCTTACTTGACCCCAAAAATGGCATATTTCTCAGCCATCCTGAATCTGCTTATGGTGCTTTGGCCAGATGTGAAACCTTCTGAGGAAAGCTTTGGGCGCGGTCAGGCTGTGTGTTATCAAACACGGGGTCAGTTCGAATATCGGATCTGCAGGCCTCCTCTAAGACTGCCCACCCCGCTCATGATTCTGCTAAAGGAGGCATGCGTACACAGACGGGCGCTCGGGCTCATGCTGGGATGTCCTGAGGTCAGGTATATTACAGAGGGCAGATGATAGGAATGATAACAAATGTTATTTAATAGTCTGATGTTCCATCTCCCAACTCTTGTCAAAGGAGTGAGAATTCCTTGAAAACAAAGCAAAGAGCATAAGGGAAATATTGATGGGAAGCAAGCCGAAAAATTCATAGCAAGATCCTTAATCACATGCCTATTTCTGAGTGGAATCATAAGTGAGACGGCCTCACAGAGACCCTCGGCAGCTTTACGTCAGCGGGTCGACCGAATCAGACTCCCTAAGGCAGAGGTGCTGACTGGGTGTGTATTGAGGACTAGTCCTGCCAGCTGGGCTGTATGGAGGTATGTCCCATAAAGTAAATGAGCTAAGTGGCAGCTTCACAATTGTGAAGAAAAAATATATATAAAACAACTTATGAGAAATATTATTTTATCAAAAAATATAGTAATAGTACATGTGTCAAGTGTACTTAATTTATCAATATTAACATATCTAACCATATTTAGTTTCTTGAATTAAACACTGTGCCTCTGAGTGAAAAGTGGTATTCTATAAGTTTGGTAGTATTTTTGGGTACAGTTGCCAGAAGTGATGTCATCTAATAATTGGATAACATTCTTTTGTAAAATCTTTTGAAAGATTACTGGGTGGTTTTTGGCATATAACTCACAGAGAATTCAAATGTCTGACATTGCTATAGTAAAAGTCCTCCAGAACCCATCTACGTAAACAATATTTATCAGTGCTTAAATCTATAACAATAAATATTAATAGAATTGATATTAAACTCTGCCTCACTCTAACAATGAATTGTAATAAATAAAAATAACAGGGAAAACTCTCCATCTCACTAAGAAAGGCATTTCCAATCAAAATGTTTACTTTTTGTTTTTATAAAGTTACCAAAATTTAAGTATACATACTGTTTTGATAAATTCTTATGGTAATCCACAGAAAAACTGTTAATACATAGACATTATATTCATAAGAAATTTAAAACATACATTTAGATACACATGTATTTTGCTACAGCAATCAGGCAAATAATAAGATTTTTAATCATATAAATATATTTACAAAGAAATTCTGTGGGGGACGTGGAATGGAAATACATGTTTAAGGAAAGAAATGAACATTACAAAATATCTGACTTTTAACCATGAGCATGTTTACATATATTTTAAATGGACAATAGTGCTATAGAAGCACTATGAATTTACATCTTACTGGGTAAATTAAAAGAAAAATGCAGAAGTTTAATTTTGGGGAAGTTTTATTTTTAAATATCTCACAAATGACATCCTTTTCTATCATTTAAAATTATAAAGACAAATATAGATGTGCTATTACTAATTAGCTTTACTAATTTACTATGCAAAGCAAGAGGACATGATTTTTTCCTTTGAGGTGAGTGTGTAAGCAAAGGTGTCTGAAGATAAGTGGGTGGGATCATCGTTCAGAAAATGTCTTGGGTCAGGTTCCTTGAGAGGCCTGCCCTGAGGTGGGGGCCGTGTGCATGGGATTTATGGAGTTGGCACTCGTAGGACACCCAGAGCAGAGGAAGCCAAACCAGGGTGCCATCTCTAGTGAAGTGCCAGAGAGTCCCCTTCCAAGCACTCTGGCATGTGAGTTACTGCAGAATAGTCCTGACCTTGGGCAAAGAAGTTGAGGTTTCTTTCTCCCTCATGGGTCATTGATTGGTCAAGGGCTGCCCCAGGGAGGGCCGCAAACTCACGTTGCATTTGGTTAAAGCCACTTCCATGGCTGGACAGCAGCTGAAGCTCACATGGGGTGGCCAAAGAGGAAGGGGGAGGAGGGATTGGAAGGGAAAGAATGTTGTCCTAGAGATTACTCTAAAAGAAAGATCTAAGGGAGTTTGGGCAAACTCCTTCTAGCTCTTCATCAATGACACCAGCCGCTAAGTGCATCGAGCATGGAATTCTAGGCCATGAACTGCACCGATTTTTCCTAGGAAGAAGTGTATCTATAGTTCCACTTACATGTTGCTCATTTATATCCATTATCATATCACCCTTTTATTTTGACTATTGAAAATGGCATAACTACATGTGTTTGTTTCATATGTGGCATAGAAAGGAGCAGAGGGAACATTTCTAACAAATCCAGTAACATTAAAAGCAATGCATATTTTTATGTTCTGCAGGTGGTGAGGATACAAGATGATCATAGCAGAAAATAAGATATCTGTTGGCATGTGTAATTCCAGGTGGTTCTAACCAGAAATCATAAATCATCCATTAGTGGTAGAGTGGCAGCAATTTTTCATGAAAACAGTTGGCTAGTATTTTGTGCTGTTCCACATTTGGGGGAAAGACTAGAGTGAAGATGTCAGTGAGCAGATCTGAGAGACGATTTCATTTCTCCTGAGGAAGGGACAGCTGACCTTGAAGAATTAACTGAATCTTTCCTTTGACAACTCTATACAGTCCACACATCAATTCTGATGATGTATTTGTCTAAAGAAGATTTTTGTTATAATTTTCAACACACCTGTATTTCAAATTGGACTCAAGTGAAAAGCAGAATTTGAATTTACTAGGAATGTCTTCTATTGTTAGAACTAAAAATCCATGCCATGTCTTCAGTTCTGGCCCAAACCTACTGTGCACCCGGCAGAGTGCCCTGGAAAACGCACCTGTCACACAGCTGCCACCATTGTCGATGTTGGCTCTTCACCAGGATGTTCACAGAAGAATGAATTTGTGAGACAGAAAAAGTGAGATGAGGATAACTTTATCAACTGCTATTTTGTTCTGTGATAATTTGTTTTATGTTTTCACATGCTTTGCTTTCTGTGTACTTGATTTTCACTGCAAAAGAAAATAAAAAACAGAAGCATGAATACTCTTGATGACCAGAGCTGCTCTTGGGAGTTACAATGTAGCAAGAGACAAGTTCTAAAATAAAAGCGAGTCTGACCTGGAAGCTTGTTCTGTTGATTTTTATTTAACTGTCAACTCAGACCCACTGGAACACCAGTATACAGGATTAAACATATTTAGAAAATACATAAAACACGTAAAATAAGCCAGTAGTGAATTCATTTTAAACATCATTTAATTTGGTTAAGGCAACAATAAATTACAAAATCAATGAATATAATCATATATTTTGAAAGTGACTATTTTAATGGGATAAGACTGGAGACAATTTTGTACTTTTTTCCCATAATTTTTCTTAACATTATTCTTGTTTGAATGATTTCAAAATAATTCAATCAATTAATTCTAGGCTCTCAAAAAATTTAAAGTAGCCATTTGTTGATTTCTGGGAAGTTTAATAAAGTTTTGTTTTTCCCTAAGAATCCTGGTGTGTGTGTGTGTAAGTATGTAAATATGTATGAATACATCAATCTCTCAATATGAAAGTAACATGGGTCATCAAGAGTGTGAAGCCAGAGGAACTCACATACTCCTGATGGGAGTGTCAACGGCCCCCCTTTGAGTAGCATCTAGTTAGGCTGATGAAGCACATACACTGCCATCCAGCAGTCCCACCACTGTATCAGTGTCTCCAGAAGCCCTCACACATGTACACAAGGAGCTAAATGCAAATACACACACTACAGTATTGTGTGCTTTAGTGAAGAGTTGGAACCAACTGAATGTCCTAAACGAGTGTGTTCCTACAGTGGAACACAGTGCAGCAGTGAGACTGATCAGCCAGAGCTGCATCTATAATTGAATGGACAAATCTCAAAGATAGAATTCAACCAAAGAGTTGCAGAAGGCTACATTATGACATCATTTATATAACATTTTAAAATCTGAGAAGTAATATCATGCATTGCTTGTGAATACCTACAGCTGCAACAAAAGCATATATGGGGATGATAAACACCAAATTCAAGACAAGCACTATCGTTCAGTGAGGAGGGGTAAAGAAAGGGTCCAATTGTCATTACAGTGTTTTATTCCTTAAGTTGGGTGATGGAAATATGAGTGTTCCTTGTATTATTTTTTATACATTTCTGGATGCCTGATGTATTTCATAATTTAAAAAGAGTAAAACAAGTCATGAAAATTAATGTCTAATTCAAGTAAATCTTTATGCTACATTGAGAACCATATTAAGAATTGTGAGGAATTGAAATCAAGGTTTCTAGAGTTAGGTAACATTCTAGAACACTGGTTGTCCTTGAACACCAGTCACCAGGAAACTTGTCCCCTTCATTGGTATTCCACACAATTTTGATCAGTGTGTATTTTATGTTACCACTGAGTGTACAGTCACTTTTCATCTGCATTTCATGTCCAAGTGGTCACTGAGGTTGTACAGCACAGTTTCAGGCACATAAGAGGCCAGAGGGGTGGTATTAAATGACATTGTTTGACTGGAGGAACAATTACTCTATAGACAAAGGGAACTTTTAAGTAAATGCATTGTGGATTCTGGACATTCAAGTCAAAAGTGTAATACTTGAATGAGCACTGTGAGCACAAAATGGAGAACCAACAGCAGAGAATGACCACATGAATTTGGAGTAAGGCTGCTAAGTAGAGCCAGTAATTGCTTTGGCAATCAAGGAAGGAAAAAAAATCACTTGGGATTTAAATAATTGGAGACGACTTCAAGGAATAAATGGGGTTCACACCAGGTCCCTACCTATAGACCCTTAATACTCTCTCCTGTCAGGCCCTTTAGGTAAGAGTGCAAACTCCTTCCATGTCTTAAAAGCCCCTGAAAAGCTGACCTTTGCTTACCTTCGCAGCCTAATCTCTTCTCACTGCTAGGAATCTCTTCCCCTCTCTAACTCCCATCCATCCTTCTGCTTGGGAACACCTTCCATAAACTCCCTAGAGCTGGGCACGGTAACCCACCCCACTGTATATCTCCTGGGACTGGATCTTTCCCTCTGTATCCTCACCAGGAAGGGTAATGATGGCCCATACGCTCACCTATGTCTCCAAGAGGAATGGCGTGGGCTTCCCTCTTTGTTTACCCCTGTACCCCCACTGTCCAGGGTGGTGCCTGGCACTTAAAAGGCACTCAATGAAGACTTGATGAATGAATGAACAAATTCACCTTAAGAGGTAAATATGGTTTGGTTGGATGGAGAGGAAGGAAATTGGTATGAGTGATGACAAGGAAACAAAAACCAGCAAGGCTTGTGGTGTTTGAGCACCAATGTGAGCAGGGAACTGGGAGTGTGTGAGCAGCACTGTCAGGGGCCAGGGTGACTGGATTGCAAATTTGGGTGTTAGTGGAAGCCGAAGCCTCAGCAAGCGTGGTGAGTTGCTTTAGAGCCTTTTTAAAATAGCTTAAAGCCCCCCAACAGATTAAAAACATCATGAACCATGTACAATAGTCTATTTGAATGGAGTGATTAGAAACAAAATTGCATGCCTTCAGAAAGGGATCATGACATGTGCATTAAGCACACATTCTCCCAGGGGTTCTTTGGAGAAACAACCCAGAGCTGAGCCACTGTGGCCTTACATGGCGTGAACAATGCACTGCAGAACAGCTGGGCAGAATTACAGATGACTAAGAATCCCATAATACCGTTGGAAAACTTCAACAGTTCCATCCACCCCTAAGTCCCACAGACGCAGGAGCCAAGCTGATACTGACTCCAAGGGCTTCTGCCTGAACGTGAACCGGGAGCCCAAATCCACCAGCTCAGCCTGAGCATAGGGGCGGAGCATAGAGTGCTCCAGGAACTGGAGAGGACTCAGAACCTGGGACATTCCAAACCATCTGCCATATCATGCCTCTGCCAAGAATTAGCTCCCTTCGGCTGACCAGCCCTGCACGAGCAGCTAGAGTGCATTAGCCTGAAAGCAGCTGTCTGGGCTGGCCCTGCAGTGGCTTCCTGAGTCAAGTCTGTGGCCCACGGGATCTCACTCTGAGCAGCCCAGGCTAAGGCCTGGCTGAGAGTAGGCGTGGCTGCGCTGGCTCAGGGTGCACACCTGCCCCGCTCACTCCTCATCCCTCTGCAGACCCTGCAGTGGCAGGGGACCGTGTCCCATGTCCTCTTAGAGGGACACCTGCAAAGCCACAGCCTGGAGAACCCACCCCAGGGCCCTCCATGAGGACCATCCAACTCTCCTTCCCTCTGTCACCAAATGTTCATTCCAGCAACCCAATGGCCCTCTGTCTTCTCATCACCCTCCTGGCAGGCCCCAAACCCCAGGGATCCTGTCTCCATCAACCCATGAAAATTCCACTGGGAAATCCCACTTTCTTGCCTTTCCAATTCTCTGAATCTAAATTGCTAGTTCTTGTTATCAGAGTTTGGCATCAACATTCAAAAGAGTTGGTCTTCCATTCCCCTCCCCTGTATGTCTGTTCCTGGGGTGGCATCAATATCCCCCTGACCTGATGACAGCAGGGGTGTGTCCCTGTGTGTCTGTTCTCTGGAAAAGTGTTCGAGATAGACATTATTTCTCTCTTAAATATTCAGTGGAATCCAGAGGAAGACACAAGAGCCACAAGTCTGTTTTATGGTAGAAACATCCTTAGTATTTCTTGCTTTTTACTTGATGGCTGCCTCAGTCATGTCAACCCTGATAATGTGTCCATTCTGGTGGGTGTAGGAGTAAGATAGTAAGGTTTAAGTATGTGATTCACTGATTGCTAATGATGCTGAGTGCATTTCACATGCTTGGTCACAGACCAAGCACAGACTGAAGTCACAGATGTTGCTATGATTTGTGTTATGCAAAAGGGAAATGCTTCCATAACTATCTCCACCATTCCAGATTCACTCCAAAAAATAGTTTTACAATTTTTTGTTATTTTCTTTATTTAAGTTGAAATATAGTTGATTCACAATGTTATATTGGTTTCAGGAGTACAACATAATGATTTGGCAGTTATACACATTACAAAATGCTCACCACGATAAGTGGCATTACCGTCCACAGGGTACAGTTATTACAGTATGATTAACTATATTCCCTATGCTGCACTCGCATCCCCATGACTGACTTATTATATAATTGGATGCTTGTACCTCTTTATCTTCTTCACCTCTCTCCCCCATCTCTCCCCCAACAATGGTGACCACCAGTCTTTCCTCTGTGTTTATGAGTCTGTTTCTGTCTTGTTTGAAATTGATAGTTCTAATAGGACCTTAATGAGGTTAAGAAAACTACTAAAATTAAATCTGAAACTATTCAACATTGCCATATTTCCCCTTGCTCCAGTGAATTCCTAATGGGGGAGGGAGGGGAACACTGAAGGGTGCAGGTTGTAGTAGGAAAATGTATTTGCTGCGTACGCCTACACCATAGTTTGTATGACCTACAATGGCATGGCATTGCTTATATTAGAAATTATTGAATGCTTGCCTTGTTTCTATTATTTGTGTGTGTGTGTGTGTGTTTGTGTGCACACTTTTATAAAACATATGCTATGAAAGTGCTAACACAGTCTATAGGCCCAACTCTGCAGCTCCTATCTGTCTCTTGTGTACCATCCTAGCCAGCTGCAGGGCCCAGCCCCCCGGAGGTGCTCCTAAAGTGTTTGTTGAATGAATATGTATGAGGAAGGGGGCCTGAGAATGAAAAGCCGCCCTTGACTTCCAGAAATGGGTCTGAAGCCAACAGATATGCAATGCTGTCCTCCTGTTAGACATAAACGGTCTCACAGAACATCAACATCAGACAGGTCCCTCTGAGCCTGCAGCAAAATGTGAAGTAGAGATAAGGTCTCCATGCACTTTACAGAACGCCACATGTCCCCATTTCCCAGGGAGGGGTGGGTGGCTGCTGCTTCCTGACCAGTGACAGCTCTGTCTTCACTCCCACTAGATAAGGTGTAATGAGATGGCGGATTGCAGAACTGTCCCCTCCTTATGGCACCATCCAGCCACTAGTGAGCCACAGCCGACACCCCAAGCCCCGCCCCTATAATAGATTCAAATGCCCCCCATTCTGATGCCTGTGGTTCCCCACAGTTCATGCTCTCCTT